TGCTGCATCTATAGAGAAAGTGGCGGTGGGTCAAGTGTTCCCTTGCACGGAAAACCTCCATTTTCTGAACTCGCTACTGTTGAAGTCCATCCAGGAGTGAGGTATTCGTACTTGGCCTAAGACTGATTCTTCTTTTCGTTTTTGGCATGCACGTCTGGTGAAACATGGTCCAACAAAAGCACTTTTTGATCGTGCACGAATTTCTGATTTGTTAGAGATTACCTTCCATTCCCCAATTTACGATTCAATACTTTTTCCAATCGCACTAAGTTTTTGGTCTTCAGAGTATAATACATCGAACGAGAACGTTCTGCTCTTTTTGTTTTCTCCTTTCATAGGCTCATCTCTGGCTAAATCCCTAGGCTTAGCCATTATGGGACAAGTATACGCATCCCCTTTGGTTAGTTCAGTCAAACATATTTCAATTTGACCATGACATTCATCGCTTATAGTATGAACGCCAAAGTTTGGGTCTTTGTAATAAGTCCCTTTACTAGAATTTTTTACTTGCTATTCTTCTCTTATCAAACGTTCGTACCTAATCACGTTCGCACTAAGTTGGAACAGGTCAGGAAATTTTCTATTCTGGAACTTTTTCTTTAAGTCAAAACTTAAACAGTTTTGAGCAATTTTGACAAATTCTTTTTCAGGCAGGGGCACAAAACATTTACTCATTGTTGTTTTAAATCTTTGAAGAAAACTTTCTGCTCATTCATTTGACATTTGACGTAACTTCGCCAAATCGGCCAGCGTAAACTCAGATTTTGTTTTATAAAATTGAGCATGGAATAACTGCTCCATTTGTTGCCATGTCTAAACGGAATTTGCTAGCAAGTTAATAAACCAAGAAAATGCTACTTCTGTTAATGAATGAGGGAATAATCTCATTTTATGGTAATCGGTCACTTCACCACTCTGTAATGTGAATCGTCTTATATGCTCTAGAGTAGATACTTCTCCTAAACCAGTGCACAACGAGAATTCGGGCACTTTATACCCTCAGGCCATGGATATGCTTGATCTACCCAATCAGGATATGGTTTAGTGTAAGTCGGCCTGATTACAGGATATACCCCAACAGCCATTTGATCTTGTACTATTTCTGCAATTTGATTCCTCAACAAAACATTTGGATCATATGGGACTCCTATGGGTTGGTTTGCTTGTTGGTTCACTTGAAGCGGCCTAACATTTGGTCCTTGATTGGCAGGGAAGGTGCTATTGTTCAGACCATTGTACTCATTATATTGAGTATTTACTCCCTCATTAACACGAGGTAAATTATGTCCACCATTCAGGACACTTATGTTTGGATTACCCCCCAGGTTGGTAGTCACATTATCACCATTCAAATTTGGCGCTTCATTAACCCCCTGATTTGAGGTGGAAGGGCCGAAAAATATTTCTAGACCTGGACTTGAGTTCAAACCAGGGGAATTGTGTGGTGAAATATGTCCCACAATCGTCCTGGTTTGGAAATGACTTCCTATGGGTATGGTTGGTTGACATACTTGGCCTACTAATTTGCTCATAAGATCATTCAAAGCACTTAATTGTTTGGCCATGTTATCATAGTGAATATTTCCATTCTGGGTAAATTTTTCCATATTATGGACGTTTCGTAAATGTACCTGTTCGACGACATCTTGTGTGAGTTCTCCAAGCAATATACGCATGGTTCGAGGACTCAACTCTTTCATTGGTTCATAACGATTGTGACTGCTTGGAGTTTGTCCTTCCGTCTGAGGGGAATGTTGCTGCTCCTCGTATCGTTCGATCAAAGACTGGACCACTCTGTGACTTGCTGGTGCTTTATCAGAACTTTTATGAGGCATAATGTTTTCCTTTTACATCTTCAAACACCAACTGTCCCACTGGGCGTGCCAAATCGTTTCACGCGTTTACTCGCTAACAATTAAAAAGGGATCAGACGATTGTGTAAGGGACAAACCTCTTGAAATAAAGTCCCAAAAAGGGGTGTTTATCGAATATGAAGATTACAGTTTGGACACGAACAAGATGCCTCCAAGGGCCGCTAGCATACAAGTACAAGGGAATTGAAGTAATTAAAGTTAATCTAAAAAAAGTAAATTATATATTTTCTATTTGAGAGTGAATTTTGTCGGGGCTCTCTTCGTTGTCTTCTTCTTTCTTTTATACGGATTGGGCAGTTTTTAATCGTTTAGAAACTGTTTGTAACTACCAATTTCTTTCATAATGGCCGACTGGCCAATAACTACCGTATGTAACTCCTATCACCATGTCTTCTTCATAACTGCTTGTCACCAACTGTCTCAAATGCTCAAACCACCTTAAATCGTGACTTTGGATAACAACAAGCTTTAGTCATCGCTGGAACTCTGGGCGACAATTGGTCTTCTGCTCTGGGCGATTACAGGATACTTCATTCACTCAACATCTGGGCGTTCTGCAGGCTTGGGCGACGACGTACCTTTGTTTTTGGACTTTCATCATATTTAATGATATTTTTGGTCGGGCTTTTACCCTGATCTCTCTAAATGGGCTTTTTCTCTCGTGCCATTTTCTTTCTTGGATCATTTGATTGGGCTGCACATTTTGTGTGTCAACACATTCAAAAGAAAAAGTTCGAAAAGTGAAAGATTTACTGTATGACGTACACTGAACCTCTGGTTACGAATTCTCCTATCATCTTTCACAGTTTCCGGCCCGGAAAAACTCCTGAAATAATCTGAAAAGTAATCATCAACTGCACGGAATTTGAGTATAATCAAGAAACCAAGTAAATAACGAATTATAATTACCGAAGGAAGGATCTTTAAATTGTGGAATAATGAAATAAATTCCAGAAACGTGAGGTGGGAGAAATGGAAATATAGAGACGCAATTGTTGTGCAGCAATGAGGAGTTGGATAAAAATTTTCAGTTTAAAGCTTGGAAGAGATTTCTTGCGATAGACGCCTTCGCATTATTTTACGTGTAATTCGAGTGAAGTTGATATCTTGGGACTTGGGATTCTACATATTCGTTTTACCGTGTTTGCAAGGGTATTTATGTCATTAGACTGCACTTTACCTATTTTAGAAGAAATAATGAGGCAAAATAAAATTTTAATTTTAATTTCTAACAAAAAAATATTAAATTTGGAATTTATACACCTAATTATTTCGTCTTCGATGCCTCATTTTTTGGTCCATTCTTTTAATGCTTCGACCCGAAATGATAGCTGATTACTATACGCTGGTGCTTAGCTTATGCTAAGTACATAGTAAATTTAATTCAAATATTAAGACAACATAATTTATCAATGAATTAAAGTTTCATGTTATCGATGTTAGCATAAGGTAAGCACGGTAATTAGTAGATCATTTGTCGTTCAGGACGAAGGGCATGGCTGTGGTGGACTATGGGCCACTAGAGACGCTATTGGGCTTTTTGCATAACGGGCCTGGACAGCCTAAATATCCATTTCATTTCAATCCATTTCTTCAGTGTTTTGCTATGAAAGAACAAAATAAAAGACAGCGGATAGAAGTTTTCTGTTTTTCATGGTAAAAAGGAACATTTATTTGAGATGGAATTGAGCATTAAGAAAACATATGTTTTAACTTTAAACACAAAATAGAGTGAACATTAGTCCTAAAAGCATTCACCGAAAGAATATTTCTGATTGAAAAGATGTGCAACAAAATTTGTCAATTAATCTATTTGTCTAGCTTGTCAACCTTGTCCTCACAAAATTATATTTATTATATTGGTAAGTAAATTGTTTTTAGAGACAGACCATAGTGCCCTTAATTCCAACGTTTATCTTCGATAACCGAGATTAAATTCAGGGATTGTTTGACGAGGATTTTAATAAAAGTTTTAAAAAAAATTATAAATGTTGATGATTGGTTTGTTTGATAAAACTTTTGAAAAGTCAGAGTTGTTTGAGCAATGCCCTGAGTACAGGGCTTCTTCTTACCGAGGCCTTACAAGCCTCTCACATGTGGAGCGGACCCCACATGTATTAAAAAAAAATTGCCCCGACCCCACCTGCTGTATCTGGCCGGATGGGACTTGTGAAACAGGTCCCTGTACTCCAATCACGGTCCAAGTTGTTTAGACTAAGAATTTACTTTGAACGTGTTTAGATAATTTTTTTAGAAGTATTTTGTCTTGAGAACCTATTCTACATGAGTAAAAGCAAAATAAAAGTCCTGCTAAATGGATTCGAAATATATAAATAAAATAAATTATTGAATTTGATCTTCGAGTTTTAAGAAACATTTAAACACATTCCAAACAAGCACTTAATGATATGCCAAAAGAAACATATCCAACATTTAGCCATTTTATTTAAATTCCAATTGATTAAAGAATTGATAGAAAATATTCCATGCCTCCCTCATAATATTCTTCCCTGTCTGCATGTAATGTGGCTTAAACAAAAGATGACAACGGCAACTATTAACAAAAGATAATTAAGGCAAACCTTATTAGCCTGTACTGTACTGGCTTATGAAATCAGAACCGTCGGTGATGAATCAAAGGGCTGATTGTTTAACTCATCTCCAGATTATCATACCTACAGTGATGTCAGGTACCTGATCCACCTTGAAGCTATACATTCTTATTCTTTTGTATTTCATCTATTACTAATGGACAAAATTAAAATCTTGTTTATTATAATGTCCACTCATATTGAGTATTGTATATAAAATGTAATCGATAAAACGATATGTATTATTCTTTATTTTTGTTGGCGTCTAATATGAAAATCAATGTCGAATCACTTAGGGGTCCACCTTGAATTGGTCAAGAGAGACATTTTTTTATCCAAATCAAACACGATGGTACATAAGATTGACCTAAGGCCCCATACACACAGGTCAGACCATAAGAGATGTTATCTGAAAACATTATCATGACCCGATTAAAAAGATATTCCCTTATGGACAGTGGCATTGCTCCCGACAGTTGATCAAGAGAGTTATGATGGTTTAAGGTACATGCCTATAGCATATGTGTTATAATAACCATCAGCCACCCAATTCTCCGGCAATCTCTTCAAAGAATGTGGTGACACGCAAATGAAAGCCAGGAACTGTAGCTTGATATGATTAGAGTAGCAAGCTCCGATCTGACGATCTATATAAGGGCAAAATCCCAATGAAAAATGTCGAGCTAACTAAATTCTCTTTATACTAAGCTCTTGCTTTGTCTCCATTATAGTGTAATATATTTTTCTCTTTTCTCATTTTATTCACACATTTTTCAATAAAATAATATTACATCCTTGTCATATAAAATTGGATCATGCTACAAGTACATAATCATTTACATAATACATTACATAACTGATATGTGGCGCGCATTTATCAGTAGTCTACAATTTTTGACTTTATGTAATCCATTATGTACAATAATTATGTACATATAGATTTATCTTATAAAATTCCATCAAATATTACACAATTATTCTGTCAACTTTTCCTTAAGTATCACCACAATTCTTATTTTTGAATAAACATTTGCTCAACACTTAATCGAGATAGGTTTGTTACGTTATTCATGACAATCCAATATAAGTCCTAGGTTATACATTAATGTTAACTTTCCATTTTCTTTGCCTAATTTATGCGATACAGATGAAGCTGTCTCAAATAATTGTTATGACGTTAGTATGAAGGGCCCCTCCGATCTCACACGCTGAATTTAAATCATAGCTTGCCTCTTTACTCCAAATTCCATTGCACAATATTTCCCCAAACAGAGTCAAGAGTTTCTGACTCCTCCATTGCTGCCCTTCTCCGAACACACACACAGACAGTGAGAAAAAGCCTTGTTCGTTTGCAATGTCAAGCTGCAACAAGAAAAGGTACATTCTCAACACAGTGGCAGTGAACCTGGGATGCAGCACTGGTTGCAAAAGGCCAAGGCTCTCCAGCATATTCCGGCCAAAACCAAGGGACAAACCCCAGCTCCACCACCACCAACCTCGCCAACACGATTCTTCTTCAAGCTCATGGGGTGCCACCACATTTTCCTCCACCGCCGACACCCCACCCGTCTACTGCTCCTCCGACCCAGATTCAGACATCAAAAGCCTTCAAGCTGTACAAGGATTCGGAAAGATTGGAGGTGAAAGCGTGGCGGTGGAGAAAGACTCCGACGACCCATATCTCGACTTTAGGCACTCAATGCTGCAAATGATTCTGGAAAAAGAAATTTACTCGAAAGATGATCTTAAAGAGCTCCTCAACTGTTTCTTGCGACTGAATTCACCATATTACCACGGGATCATTATCAGAGCTTTTACAGAGATTTGGAATGGTGTGTACTGAGTGAAATCTGGTTCTTCAGACTTGAACTTTTATGCTATAAAATCTTTGTCTTGTTTAGGGTGTCATTAGCATTAGTACGAAAATAAGTAGAATCTGAAAGAATACTGGGGTCCTATGTCTTTATATGTAACACCAGTTTTTAGGGAAAAAAATATTACGTATTTATAGCCTTTTTAATTATCTCCGTTGATCTGATCTTCGTATACCTCAGCTCCAAGAATAGAATAGAAGTGGTTCGTTTTCTTTTTATATGCAATTCAAGATTTCAGTTGTGTTTACGTTGACGATTTTGAAAATGGAAAAACAGACGCCCCGTTTGCTAAAAATTAAAATCTAGATTTTTAACTTAAATTAAAACCAATAACTAATTTTAACCACACATTTTATGGTACTCACAACTTTTCAACCACACATCACATCAATATTTATCAAAATTTACTAAAAATCTAATTTTAATTCTCACCAATAGGGACAGTCAAAAATTGTAACAGTGCACTAGAAGTTATTGGTGAATGCAATTTTTTCTCCTATTCATTATTTTGTATATTATTTTCATTCCGATGGTTGTCTAGACTCTAGATAGTAATAGAGCTTGTCTATAAGTTGGAGTACAACGTCGATTATGAAGAAACATTTGCTCCCGTTGCTTCGTACCCTATTGGTTGTTCCACACTTTCATTATTTGTTTTTTTGGGGGTCCGGTTCAACCTAATGAAGGTTGATTTTTAACCGAAAAATTTGGTGGTTTTGGTCAATTTTTATTAGTACATTTGATTTGCCGTTTAGTGCACATGATAGATTAGATTTTAACTTATTTTAGTACTTCAAAACCAATCAACAATGTCCAATCCGTTTTACTAAATACGTCGATAGGGTCGGGTTTCATTCGTACTTCTCTTGGTGGGCATACAAAGAGGTTGGGACTCGAGAATTCGTGAATCAAACCATTGCGCCAACTTTAATGCACTTAAATGATGCAGTTAATATTTGGGTGACTCGAGTCGTTCATACCTTCAAGATTTCAACACTGTCATTAAAATTTGGCTTCTTTAATAAATCCCACCCCACTTGACGTCCCGACGTAAATTTTGAGACAACCTTGTTTGCATGTGATAGCTACAGTGATTTTAGGACTATTCTATGTCTCACTTGGGGATTTCCAACAGTCAATTAATGGGTTACACGAGACTATTAAAATGAAAACCTATCACTAGCTCCGAGAAAAAAGAATAAAGGGTTTTACTTATAGAATAATAACATGTATCACCAATAGTGTTCGACATAGTTTACGTGACAGTGAACTCCATGTTCGACAATTGTCGATCATAATTATAACAGAAGGTAAAATTAAAGCAAAGAAAAAATTTATATCTTTACATACAAGTTAATTATTTAGGACCTTCATTCGATGTGAATCTTGTACTTCAATTATTCAAGATCTTCTATTACTATCATTATAAATCTCATTTCATTATATCGATATCGATAATAACGTGAAAATCAAGTTAATTCCCTATCCGACATTGCGCTTGCAAGGACGATAAAGGATCGTTTGTCGGAGCTGTCGAAAAGTTACAAATTGCTTTTGAGGTTAACAAGTTATTTTTGAAAGAATTTTGTTCAATTAAATTAGAAGATGTTAACATAGGATTTTTTTTTTTTTTTGAGAAGTTCTTTTTATAAAAATAAAAGCAATAACAAAAACGCTATCAAAAGGATCCTAACTCTAAGTACATGATTCAATTATGATTGTGGCAATTACTCTAATTTGACTCAACAAGATGAAAAATGGGGAAAATAATTTATTTTGACTGTCCCATAAATGCAGCTACAGAAGTTGACCATGAAGCCCTAAAATCCTAGAAAAAATTGGAGTTAGAGATTTGTTGTTCAATTTCCTGAGATGCTGTCCACTCAATTAAACATCGACACGTTATTTTAAATTAACATATTATTAATTTGGTGGGTTAGTGATGAAATTAATAGAGGTAAATTTGAGATGACATATTAANAGATCTCATATGGGATCTTTAGGGCAGTGGGAGGAACTGAGTATAGAAAGAGGGTTTCATTGAAATCAGGAAAAATCAATGCATTTTCTTGCAATGGTTTCTGTGAAAAATGCCAACCAAAAACGGTAATTCAGTACAATTAATTTCACTGAGAAGATCAGCTTTAAGTAGCATTGTAATGATTGCCAGACCAATGAGTCAGATTTACTACTTTATATTGAATTGGAATAGATTCTAGCTTTGAAAATTTATCAGTTACACAATTTACATCAAAATGACTTTAACTAAGCAATCATTGACCACATTCTTAAATAAATTTTGCAAAAATAGAATTTGCAGTTAAAATGTGTAGAAAAATTTTGAATTTACATATTAAATTATTTTATTGAGATAATAAGTTATTGAATTTTGAAGAATGAGGCTAAGTTTATTGAATTAGGCTGTTTGCACAGCCCGGGCTCATAGCTCGGGTCACAGCACAGACACAAAGCCGTGGGCCCCGCCTCTGAATTTTGTTATTTTAATCGCAGGCCCCGCCCATGAATGTGTGAGGGCTGTCATTCAAGCTGTGAACCGAGCTGTGTATGTAGCATCTCTCAAGTTTATTTGCTAAATAACAAAACAATTAACTATGAACCGAAATAAATTTAAGTTTAGAAGATTTATCGACAATACAATTTACATCAAAATGTTGGAGTAATTAAATAACAAAATGATTAATTTCTTGACAGGAATGTTTACAGATAATATATTCAATCAAATTAGAGTAAGAGCATATTCACATCATTATATGGATTGTCATCTAGGTAGCATGCAAGTTGAAAGAATCATTACTTGTATTTGCGTCAATAAAAATATCATCAACCTATCAAACCAAATCAAAACCACAATTTTGAAGCCGTTGATTTGGTTCCACATACACTCGAAAATGCTTCCGTTCAAAATCGAACCAAACTGTTTGGAAATGGTTCTATATTTGTTTTAATAGTTAAAAAAAGCTCAAAATCAAATTAAACCGTTCACCTAATTTTATTTTATTTTAAAATATGTTTTTCCCTAAGATATACTCCCTCCGTCCCAATTATATAGGCTGTGTTTTCTTTTTCTCTTGTCCCAAATATATAGGCTTGTTTCCTAATGTAGAATATTTTAATGTGTTCTTTTACTAATATACCCTTATTAAATTTTCCCCACTTAATATGCAAACTTCTTGAAAATTTAAATTCTTTATGAATTCCAACAATAATTTAGTTTTACCCACTGAAAATTAAATAGGGGTAAACTAGGAAAGATCTTGACAAAAATTAATTTTTCCATGACATTAAATAAGTTTTCTTAATCTGTGTGAAAAAAACTAAACAAGCCTATATAATTGGGACGGAGAGAGTATGATTTATTAATTCAATTTATACTTCAACAAATTTATTTGTTAATTGGCTTCAATTCGCTCTTCGATGAAATAATGACTTCTGGTAATATTTTCTAATCTATTTCAGAAAGAATGATTTTGGTAGCTTAATTTCACACTTGAACTTCATATATATTTCATTGATTTAAGTTTGTATTAAGACAAATGTATTAGTATTATAGCATTTATATGTAGAAGATTCAAAACATGGTATGGAATTAACCAAAACCGCAAAAAGGGTTTGGTTTGGTTTGAAAAATGTAATGGTTCGATTTGATTTTTAATTTTTCCAAAAATGAAAAAATCGATGTATTCAAATGAAAAGTTTGTAACATTTAAATGAATACAATGAAATCAGTATCACGGACGAAAATAACTTTTTCAATTAGCTTATTAACGTCACTTCACCAAAATCATCGGCCCTACAAATAACACCGTTAAACAACTCAACAAAATTGTTAAATTTGTTAACATATACTTTGAAAATGACTTAATTGAAACAACTTTTGGGTGATCTAATTCCAGTCCTCGCGTCTAAGGACCCATTTGTCAAGTAGACAAGAAAACCTATTAGCATGTGATTATGTGAACTTTTGATAAAGGAGTTTCTTAGTGGGATACATCCATTGTATTTAAAAAGGAAATATTAACCCTATTTGCTATTGATTTAGAAGCTTGCCTTTTAAATAGACTTGTCACTGTCCCTCAAATATTCACCATCTCAAATGGGATTTTCAGTTTGACAAATGCCTTCTTCAACATATATGACAGTTTTTATCATTTCATAAAAAGAGGTGGGTTTTGTCCCATCCGAACTTTTGTCTCTTTCAAAAGGATATATAGTTTGCACACTTGTAATAACCTTTTTTTTATCGTGAATTAATATTGTCAAGTACTAATCAATATATATACGATGAAGATTATGGGATCGTCTTGTTGGCTAAACATTGGACACAAGAGATTCTTGAAAAAAAAGGGAGAGGCTAGAACATGGGATCAAACTCACTTTTTCAGACATTGAAATGAAATGTTTTGATTTAGAGCATCAAAATGTGAGGCTTCAAACTAATTACTAGAGTAACTCCTTGGTTGTGTCTACTCTTGTCAAAGAGAAAGCCAACATTGCCGCCGAAGTCGCCTCCATAGGAGCAAGCCAGTGAACAATTAAATGCTCCTCGCTTATACGTTACCTGAGAGATGCAATTAGATTTTACTCGATATTCATTCAAGTGTTATGCATCCAAAACAATTCAGCAGTAAGCATAGATTACGGTTAGAATGAATATAAGTACTTACAGAAGTTGGATAGAGTGGGATAGATATATAAAAATCGTGTGGATGTATAGTTTTTAGATGAATAAAGTTAATAGGAAAAATATTAAAATGTTATGTTGATAAATTAGCAATTTTTTAAAATCTTAATGGAGATAAATATATAATAATGATCGATGTAAATAGCGATGACTCCCGTTATCAATGGTAATTTAAAGAAACAAAAAAGAACCAAAATACGAAAATGGGCTTTCTTTTTCTCTTTTTTTGCCACCCCACTGCATCTTTAAGAAATAGAGTCATACTGGGCTGGACCAAATTAAAAAGAATTAGCCCAATATTGGTAAACCATATGTGAGCCCACATTAACCCACATAGGTACACACCCATGGGTACCATCATCGGAATTTTCACATTAAAGTTGGGTCGACCACTATCTCACTTTGGTAAGGTAAATTAAAACGGACTAAATGTTATTAATAAAAAATTGAAATTTAAAATTGAAAAAATTACCTAGAAACCTACTTCTAAAGTTTAATTTTCAAAAATAGGTGGACTGATTTTTATTTCACAAATCAGGTGTCAATTAGGTTTTAATAATTAATTTAATTAAACCTAATTTACCTATTCACCCCCACCCACCCCATTCAAATTTCTCCCCCTAATAATTCTCTCTCGTCTTTTCTCACCGATCACCACCAAACCCTCATCCCTATTCCCGTATTCTGTCTCCCCCCCCCTCCTCCCCCTCTCTCTACCCACCACACACTCATCTTCATCTTTAAAATTACCAGTGCGACGGAGCTTCTCGTCAGGTTGGAGGCACTTGTGCTGCTCGTCAGTCAGCCGTCGACATCTCTACTGCAAGCAATCGTCAGTCGCCTCGCCCCACTTTAGCTCGCTGCTGTAAGCAATCGTCAATCGCGCGCCACTTCTCGTCGCCGACGGCACGTTGTTGGTGATGCGGATGTTAGATTTGGGTGAGATGGTGATGCGATGTCGGGCTGTAGGATGTTGGAGGTATCTTCACTTGTGTCTTCTTCCTGGTTGTATTCCGGGTTTTGTGTGTGCGCAATGGATCAATAGTTTGCACTAACAACAATTATGCTTCAAGGAATTCTCCCCCTACATTTATACAAACTCGATGTTGAAGGAATTGATTCTGCACTAGCTTCTATTCTGAAATGGGTGGTTGTGCGAATATACTTAGTGGTTGTGAGAATATGTTAAATTGTGGTGTATGGGTTGTGGTGGTGGTTATGGTGGCGATTTTTGAAATATTTTGGTGTGGTGTTTTGTGATTGATGTGGGGGTGGTGGAGGCGTAGTCGGCGCCGCTGCAGAGTAAGAAAGTTGTAACCGGAGTTGGTGGTGTCGGCGAACCTTTTCTGTTCTATGATTAGATCGCGATTTGATTACCTGGTAGTTTGTTGTGACTGTTTGTGACCGATTGTAACCGTTTGTGATTGGTTAATTGTGACTTGTTGTGACCAATTGTGACCGATTATGACTTGAAATTTTGGAAATTTTTTGGAAGTTGGGAATGGGTTGATGGGGTGGGTAGGTTTGATTGGAGCATGCGTTGGAGTGGTCATTGGAATATTTTGCCAGAGGGATCGTGAATAGTAGCCGGAGAGAGCATCAAGGTGATTGTCGGAATAGTCGCCGGAGCGACCGTCGGAACCACTGAAGAGATCGTCGGAACTGTCGCCATAGCGGCTGCCGAAACTGATGGAGAGAAGGGGTAGGGAGATGATCGAGACTAGAGAGAGAAAATGATTTGAATTTGAAATTTAATAAATTGGAGTAATTGTATTATATTATAATTAAAAATATTTAATTAATTGATTTAACACCTGATTTTTGAAAAAAAATTTGAAGTTTGTTATTTTTGAAATATAATTCTTATATATATGATTTATGTATTGTTCCCTTTAAAACTTGCTTATTGTACAATTTTATATAAGTTAACAATGGATAGTAAGCGTGCAACATGTGTTTAGTCCCAAACAAATAAACGAGAGAAAAGAAACAAGTTAGTCGTTGCTTAGATGAGTATTTAAGAGTTAGCTTTATCGTACTCGTCCCTGCACACCTCATCTAGCCTAATTCATATTAGGGGTTCCTATCTTTCCCATTCGAAGGACTGCTCTGTATGCTCCCCCCCCCCCCCCCCCACCCCATTGTTAAAATCCAGCAATATAAAAACAAAATTTTATCTTATTTTTTCCTCTAGTGCAATAACCGTCACTCACAAAACAAATGATAGATTAAATTTGAATGCTTGCACAATTAGTACAAGGACCACAAACTCTGATCCTAAGGAACATTTTCTTGTACTTTTCCTCCAAATCTTAGCTGCTTAACAGACAGACAGTGACAAACCTTCCCAGCCATAAAAGCTTTGATGAGATAAGATACCCCACAAAACTTTTTTTCTGTTTTCTTCTGAAAAGGGGGAAATAAAATTGATACTTTTTACCCCCGTCAGAATAATTATTGACAGGTCAATTTATAGCATAATTTATGTTCCAGATAGCATACAAAGACGTATATATGAATCAATACATTATTTTCTCAACTTCTGATAATGTTGCAGCTGGTGCAGAAATGGCAGCAGGCTGGACAATGAAAAATATTTCATCCTAGTATTACACTATTCTTCAATTTAAGTTCAACACAAGACACCCGTGCAAGCTCGACTTATTAATTTTTTTATTTTTCATGCTGAACCTACCTCATCTAAAATTTTAAACTGAATAAAAAAAATCTTACAAACATCGTGAGAGCCAACCATTCATTTTTGTATTTCCTATACACAAGTTACCTCCGTTCAACTCGACCCCCAGTCGAAAGTTCAATAGGTTAGACTGGACAAGACTAGACATGATTTATAACAAAGAAATAAAAGTTGAAATCTTGTTGATTCTAAAACTAATTAACAGTACATATTTATTTATTTATATTTTTTCTCAATCAATGATACAATCAAACTTCTGAAGATGATGAAGCGTTGTCAACAATTTTCTCAATTCTCTCACCATCCTCCATCGTTTTATCAAAAGATAAACAAGGACTGGTGAAGGAAGCCGAAGAAGAAAACGACAGAAGAGAGGTGAAAGAATGTATATGAGAAGAAGTGGAAGAACAACAACAAGGTTCATCAATGGCAGACGAATCAGAATCACAATCACAATCAGAACCAGAAACAATTGCAAGATTAACCAACAAATCCACAAAAGCTCCAACAATATACCCATGATTGTTTTTGCCATTGACTTCAAGATAACAAGCTAGAAGTTCTTCAAGAAAATCCCAATCCTTCAAGCTATGAGCCTCCACCATTTCCTCCATAGAAACCCGAAAGTCCACAAACGGATCCCTCGAATCCATTGCCATTACCACCACACTTTCTTTAAATGGAAACTCTTCATCATTATTTGCTTCTTCAAGTATTGAGCTTGTCTCCTGTCCAGGCTCAAAAAACAGCCGGTCAGCCGTCCTTAGTCCTTGAATCATTGTCTCAATACTCGAATCGTGAATATTAACATACGCTTGTGATGCATTCAAAATGCTTTCATCATACTCAATAGATGAATCTGGGGTACTGTCATTGCATTCAGGGGCAACTTTGTCGAGAGAATTCATAGTTTTGAATATGTTTTCATTTGGAGATCGGAAAGAGAGAGTTTTAGGGTTGTTGACACAGGTTGGCCATGGCCAAGAGGTGATGCTGGTTGTCTCTGCAGCTTTGAAAAGAAAAGGAAATCTTAGTTTCTTGCCCATTAGGTAGCTGAGAATCTGAGTGTGTATACTTTTTTGTGTAGTTTGATTTCTTATCATGGGTCTTAAAAAGGTTGAACAAGGCGGCTCAATGGGAGATTTTTTGAAGGACTGGTGACACGTGAGAGAAGAATTTGCAAAGTAATTTTAGTCAAATATTTGAAACTTGAAGACCAGTAGAAATAACCCTTTGAAAGCATTGTAGACCATATAAAGCTTGTAGCTCAGCTGCTCTCACTCTGAATCTCTTACAAAAATAATAATAATAAAATTAAATTAAATTAAAAATTAAAAAAAATGAGGAGCCATAGCGTCCGTTTTAAGTGGCAAAGGCCTATGCTGGATTAATTCTTGTATCAATATGAAATAAGACTAGAAAAAGAGAGAATTCCCATTGGTTAAGATAAAGATTAATAGGTAGAAAGATTCACGGGTCGAAGCAAAAGGAGCGCAAGGGTACTAGAGCAAGTTGATGAAATGATCCAGTAAGAAGAGAGAGCTTCAGGCCATTGCTGATTCGGATGATCCAGCTTCTAGTACGAAGCTAACTAAGAAAGCCAAACTTGGTGGTGATCTCGTTTCGTTTTCGTTCCCGTCTCATAGATGAAAGAAAGGATATCTTTTCAAGCAGCATAAAACTCTCGTACATAAAATCTAGAACTGTAAAAGTGTTGTGTAAAATCACTTTTTATATTATGGCTTGTAATCCTTGAGCATTTCCCTTGACAATCGAACTTGCCTAAGTAGAGCATTGGTTTAGCAAAAAAATTTAAATCAAAATCAACAATGAATTTTAACCACACATTTAGCCCCCTGTTTCGTAGAGATTAAAATTAAATTTTTAGTACATTTTAATAAAAGTTGATGAAATGTGTAGTTGAAAAATTTTGGATTCCATGAAATATATGATTAAAATTAATTGTTAACTATGACATGAGATTTTAATCCAAACCAAACAAGGGCTTAATGAAATCTGCATTTTATCAACTTATTGGTCGATTCAACTAAAACAATCAAATTACAATAGTTTCATTTATTCAACAGTATAAAAAATTAGAGAATTCTACTTATTTGCAGCAAACGATCACTTTATATTTAATGGGTACGCAATCTTTTCCTGAATTATTGGTGTGTCCTACTTATCAGGAGTAAATGTTGCATTGTCTTGCATGTTGGTTATGCTCCTTATCTCGATGGCGATGGAAAGTATGGAATTTCTTCCTTTGTATATCCTTTTTGTGTAATTTGAATAGTATATGATTTTGAGACATGCGGTTGACATAATATGAGTGAGGTGTGGCCCATGCTACAGTAGAGCGCTGCCCCCCCCACTCACATTATGTCATCCCCTATGGATCAATCTATGTACACATAGATTAATCCTATGATTTTTGTTTAGTTTTACATTGCACTTTGTGAGCAAATTTATGAATAATTGCTGTACTTCCTTCCACTTTTGAAATGGTAAAAATTCTTAGCATTGCTTGCTTTTATTATGCGGAAAGTCAAATGTATT